AGCCAATTCATAACTCAAGAAAGAGAGAGCGAGAAATCTCTTCCCACACACTCGCAGTTCGGTACCCGCATATTCACCTATTCGTGGAATGTATTTTTGTAACTTTTGTCAATTTTTTTTCCATAATTTGATTTGATTTTAGGGTGGTGTTTTGGAGTCAATGCCTCTTTTTTCACGTGAAATTTTTGGCCATTTGGGACTGTTTAGTTCGAGTTTACTGTATAGTTTGCTTTATGTGCTTTCATGTGTTGGTGCACTGTCGTTTTTGTGAGCATAAAAACACCACACTTACAAACATACACACTTCTGCTTAAACACACACACGTTCAAAAGCCCACGGCTTGCTGTCGAATTAGAAACTTTCCCCTGTGGATCATTCAGGGCCGAGCTGTAATTACGGATGCATCCAGAGGAGATACAGCCTGAGATCTTGAAAGAAGACAGGTCTTTCATCCGTTTGGGGGCTTGCGCGCACGGACCTTTGTTATATGTGTGACAAAGATCAAGCAGGGATGAAGGAAGAGCTCAGACAACTGGTTGTCCTTTAAGCTGTGACACAAAAATAACAGTTGGCTGTCTTGGTTCTCTTTCAATCATACGCTCCTGCTTTTTTTCCCATCATCATCGCTTTTTCAGTAATGGTGGGTGGGTGCAGTTTCTGTCATAGTGGGCTTCAATGTTGCAAAAATCCCTCTGATTTTGTCACTGAGCCCAAAAAAGATTGGTCGAGCTTTCCATTAGGTTTGATGAAAAATGCTCTGTTAGAGTCTTGGAGATTTTAAATTACAGTTTGGCGTCATCAGGCATTTGTGGCATGGAATGAATGCTGTTGATTAAGAATATGCCACAGGTTGGTAGTTAGATACAGTACAAGCGATTGGATTAAACTCTTAAATCATGACCAAAATGATGATGACATGATTATTTCTGTATCACAATAGGATAAAAAAAAAAAAAAAAAATCAAAGATGCACATTCACAAAACATTGCAACCTTATTTTGATTCCCAAAAATATAAAATCAGTAGACCCATCTCCTTTTTTTAAAAATAATAA